GCAGTTTATATTTTGTTTCCAACTTTTTTAGTTCAATTCTTTCTTTTTGAAGATATTTTAGTTCAATTCCATATGAAAGCGATTTCCATTTAAGTTTTATCTTGAGTTTATAATTCACATTTTAAGAATAATTTTGAACTTATGTAGATTATTTTTTTCTCGAAATTCTAGTATTCTCATATATTCAATTTTAAGTTGCAATAAGAGTACATGCATGGCACAATTGAAAAAATTATTTTTTTTGGGTAATTCAATTATTTATCTTGAACATATTGTACTAGAAATTTTAGTTTGGATTATATCTTTAGTTTTTTTAATTATCTCAAACGTATTTTTCGACGATTATGACAAATAGCTAATTTTATCCTTCTATATAATGAATTATCTTTTCTTAACATCAGATGATAATACGCAAATCCTGGCTCCGCCCCTGATTGGAGGTGAGATTCCAAAAAATCTGATCTGCCTCGGTGGAAAGTGGATCCACCAGAATGCCCCTAATCTTATCTGTGACCTGCTGAGGGAGGAAGTCTTCAAACTCTTCAAGTTTTCAGACTTGCTCCGGGTCCCAAAACTTAGCTACCGTTCTGTTTTGTTGACCTTCGGGAACATCCCTTGTTGCAATATTGATTAGAGGAACCTGCAAAGCCTAAACATCAAGCCAAAATGACATTCACAACGCTAGAAAAACTTCTTCAAGCCATCGAACTTCCCTGTGTTTTACGATGGCAATCTATCCCTTGGAGTGCCTGGCCGTACTTACCTTTCAGCAACCTAGTCCAGAGAGCTTGGTCATCATTGATTAGTTTCCACCCTCCTTTGGCTAGTAGAGCTTGGTTAGCTAATCTTGTAGGCCTGATGCCGGCACCCCCTGGCTTCGCGGAAGGATCATCTGGTCCCAAGCTATGTTATGAAACTTCGCCTTCCCTTCTTCTTCCCCCCATATGAAGCAACTATTATTCTGATCTAGCGATTTACAAACAGAAGCAGGTAGCAATTCCGAAAACATGGGGTATACAGTCATAGATGTTGAAATAGATCTCGCTAAAGTCATGCGTGCTGCCAGGGAGAGGTGATTTGTTTTCCAGAGAGCCAACTTCTTTTGGATTTTTAGAATTAAACCCTTGTAACGCGCCTTAGAGATTCTCCCATTAATGGTCTATATTCCAAGATATTTGGCCAAGTTTGCTGTCAAAGAAATACCAGCACGAGCACTCAACTGTTGGGCTTTGCTGTTAGAAACAGGGTTTCTAACGGGATTGGAATTGGGGAATTTAGCTAGATCAATTAGGGATTGATCTAACTAGGGATTAGAATTGGGGATTTAGAACAAGAAGAGGGGAGGAAAGGGCTGCTGCTGCCGCAGCTTTGGAGGAGAAGAGAGAGGGGAAGAACACGCAGGAGAGAGGAAAGAGGGAGATTAGGTTTTAGGGTTTGATTCTGAAATTGCTTAATCCCAAAATAAGACCACTACTACAGATTATATAACCTGTCTAATTCCTATTTGCTACCCAAATAATAAAACGTAACAATTGACTCCCTGTTTATTCCCCCAAATACCCAAATAATCCCCCAATCATTAAAAACCGACACTAATACGAAATAACCAAAAATGCAAATAATTGTGTTTCCCACATCCCCGCTTCCTTCGAAAAACAACCTTGTCCCCAAGGTTGTTCGTCTAGCTCACTAGGCCTCCTCATCGCCATTTCCGACGTCCTCGACCTCATCTTCTGCTTCATCTTCCCAGCGCCCGACTAACATCATCAAATCCGGCTTCGGGCACTGATGTCCGATGGTGAACCGGCCATCACAATTGAAGCACTTGCCTTCCCGCCTCTTCTGCTCAATCTCGGCCGGCGACAATCGCACGAACCCTTTCGGTATGGCCCGCGGTCCCATCCTGGCCACCGGAGCAGGACCTCCACTGCCCGCGTTCGCCCCCTCCGAACCTCCCCCGGGCGCCCCTCCTGTGCCGCCACTGTTCCCACTGCTTCCTCCTCCTCCACTCGGCTTTGAGAAACGGCCAATGGTACTCGTCCAGCTAGCCAGTTCTTCCTCCTTATGACCTGCAAGACGAAAAGAAGTTTTCAAGGAATCGGGCTCGAACACTCTGACCGCCGCTGCTATCTCGGGCTTGAGACCCGCCATGCACAGCCCCACCAAGGTGTCCTCCGAGACTCCTTTACACTGGTTCCCCAACTTGAAGAACTCCGCACGGTATTCAGCCACCGTGCCGGTCTGCTTCAGCTTCGCCAACTGCTCCGGAGCCCACCCATCTGACTTCCCAAACTGATAGCGGAGCTCTTCCTGAAACATAGGCCATGTGATCAAGGTTGCTGCGGCCGCGTAGGATCTCTCCATCCATTCCCACCACTGGAGCGCGTCTCCCTCCAAATAGAATGATGCCAGGTAGGCCTTCCTTTCCTCCGGAATCGGGTGGTTTTTAAACCACCTCTCAACTGCATACAACCAAAGGCCTGCATCCTCTTGCCCATTGAATTTTGGGAACTCAATGGTAGGAGGTTTAGCTCAAAAAACTACTCCATCCATTCCTACATAGTTCATATAATGGGACCCATACCTGTCATTTCCTGGCGTCCTCCACGGCTGCCCAAAGGAGGAACCCTGTATCCGGTTTGGGTTTCCATGCACATAGTCATCCAGGTAGCTGCCTTGTGGGTTCGGGTACCCTTCTGGAGAGTGAGGTGCCTCGTACGGACCCTCCCAGGTGGCTGGTCCCCTGCTGTCCTCCCTTCTGATCGGTGGAGCGGTCGGGTTCGGTCGATGTCCGGTTCGACCCACCTCGGGTCGACCAGTTCCGGTCTGACCCGGCCCGGTTCGGCTCACCTCGGTCCGACCAAAGTCGGTCCGCCTAATCCCGACTCGACCGATATCGGTCCGACCCGCCTCGGTCCAGCCCTCCTCGGTCCGCCCCCCATGAGCCGACCCCCCTGGCCCCAACTGGTCGGCAGCCCTCCTCGGCCCACCAGGCCCCCTTTGGTCCATCTCCGGTTCGGCCCACCTGGCTTGTTGATCCGCCAGGCCCGTTTTGTCATACTCGGGCCCATCTTCCAACTCCAACCACCCTAGCCCGTTATGGACCCTGGTGTAGTGACCCAATAGCCTGGGCCCATTATTCCTAGGAGGCCCGTCTGTGTCATAACCGGGCCCACTCCTAACCCGGCCCGCATTGGGCCTGCCCCTGCTCCCGGCCCGGTCTCGGCCGCCATTGGCGCCGCCGGCACCTTCTCCGCCACCACCATCGCCGCGCCCTGGCCGGCGGTCACCGCCCCCTGCACCGCCGATCCGCCTCCGTCGATCGCGCCCCCGCCAGCCGCGGTGTCCACCGCGTCCCCCTCGTCGTCGATCGCGCCGCCAAGGGCGCTGCCGCCGTCGACCTCCTGCGCGACCGAGCTCAGCGTCCTCCCAGCTCCGATCTTCTGCTCCTGCAGCGAGGCTACCGCTCGCATCAGATCCTCCAGTCTCTGACGGAGATCATCAGCATCCGCTTTCTCCTCTACCTGCACCCTCGCCAGACCATCTTCGAGCCGAGCTAACTCCTCAGAGTGCTCGTGCACCACCTCCTTGATCGCCTCCAGTTCAGTTTCATCTTCCACCCTTCTGTCGAGACCCATGTTGCTCGCCTCGGTGGTTTCCTCTGCTGCCCGCGCCGCCTTTTCTGCTGCCTTCATCGATTTCGTCGACACCATTGTTGTTTGCTCTGGTTCAAGAGCTCAAAGAACTCACTCTCAAACTAGGCTCTGATACCAGATGTTAGAAACAAGGTTTCTAACGGGATTGGAATTGGGGAATTTAGCTAGATCAATTAGGGATTAATCTAACTAGGGATTAGAATTGGGGATTTAGAACAAGAAGAGGGGAGGAAGGGGCTGCTGCTGCCGCAACTTTGGAGGAGAAGAGAGAGGGGAAGAACACGCAGGAGAGAGGAAAGAGGGAGATTAGGTTTTAGGGTTTGGTTCTGAAATTGCTTAATCCCAAAATAATACCACTACTACAGATTATATAGACTGTCTAATTCCTATTTGCTACCCAAATAATAAAACGTAACAATTGACTCCCTGTTTATTCCCCCAAATACCCAAATAATCTCCCAATCATTAAAAACCGACACTAATACGAAATAACCAAAACTACAAATAATTGTGTTTCCCACATTTGCTCTGCAGAAGATTGGACGACACCAGCATAGCCGACTTGGCGTGATTAACTCGTTGACCAGAGCTAGTGCAAAAGTCATCAAGACATTGTCGAATGACATCGATTTGGCTAGTCTCCGCCTCTGCAAACAAAACTAAGTCGTCATCAAAGAAAAGATGCGACAACTTCGGACCATTGGTAGATAAAGACATCGGTTTCCATTTCTTATCAGAGACAGCTTGCTCTATTCGGTGAGCAAGCCGTTCCATACAGAGGACAAAGAGAAACGGCGAAAGGGGATCGCCCTGTCTCAATCCTCTGGTAGGTGAGATAGTCTCTGTTAGCTTTCCATTCCAGCTAATCTTCATCCGATTATTCTCTACGCAGAACATGATCCTGCTCGTCCAAGTACTGGGCAACCCTATTTCCACAAGAGTATCTCGAATAAAATCCCAACCGAGCCTATCATAAGCCTTCTCAAGATCTATCTTGATCACCAATCCTCCTTTCTTTCCTTTCTTGGCTCGTAGCGAGTAAAGGACTTCTTGTAGAATGATGATGTTGTCGTTTTTCTGTCTTCCCGGAATAAAGCCACTTTGAGTCGGAGCAATTAGTTTATGCATCAAAGGCTTCATCCGATTGGCGATAGGCGATAGCTTTGGTGATGGCTTTCAACCCCACATTGTTTATAAAAATTGGCCTTAGCTGCGCTGGAGTCTCCGGGTAATCAGTCTTCGGAATTAGAACAATGGTGGACTCCAACATTTCACTAGGAAGCGTAATTTAGATATGAAAAAAACCAGAATTTATTAATTACACAATGGGAATTAAAAACCCATATTAAGTACATGTTTTTTAAAAAAAATTTTAAGCCTATAATTAATACAATTATATCTCTATCGATTTCTCTCTTCCTTTCCAGCAGTCTCTTCGCTTCTATCGCCAAACTTTCTTCGACCGACAGACTTTTTTCTGGTGAAATCCCCAAATTAGACTCGCTCCGGCGATCTGCAAAAAAAAAAAAAAGAACACTCCGTTAGTGCTCTAGTGATACTGATTTTCGTTTAGTGGTACGCTACCACTACCACTAGTAGTGATAGTAGTAGCGTGGTACGGCTATCAATGAGTAGCGTAACACTAGACAAAAATTAGTACCACCACTAGAGACTAACATAAAAAAAACCAGATTTGGAATCTGAAAAAATCCCAGATCTGGTAAAAAAATAAATTAAGAGATGAGGAAAGGAGAAGGCAGGGGAGATGTCATTACCTCTGCGGCAGCGGTAGTGGATGAGGGCGGCGACAAGGCTGCGACGGGGAGAGCAGGATGGCGCGACAGTGGTGGGAGGCGGAGGGCGCGACGACTGCAACGGTGGTGGGAGTCGGAGGGCGCAACAACTGATGCAGGAGGGAGAGATGGAGGTGACGACAACATGGAGAGACAAAGGGGGAGGATGCGGTTAGGGTTCTGGGGAGAGGGAAGAGAGAGGGACGAGAGAGAGGACGTGTGTGAGGGGGAGAGTTATTTTTTTCTAATAAAAATGGATTATATAGAAAATGAGAAAGGATCCTCAGTGGTAATATTTTTTCATTCCAAAAATACCCTTCTTTTAATTCTAACCATCAATTTGAAAAAAGAAAAAAGAGACAGGAGAGAGAGCGTATCCAATGGCTAAGAAGTGGGTGGTCAATCTCACAACCCCCAAAGGGGATGGTGACCTTATCTCATCCCTTATAGGGGATGCAGAAATCTTATAAAATTAGTTTTTATATATATATATTTTGATTGATAAATCAGTTTATATTGTTACTAGCTTTGACGCCGGATAGTTTGTGAGAAAGCGACTTTTTTCAAAGATAAAATAATTTGTGTCTCCGATATTATTTTTAATAATTTTTTTTGTATTATAGTAGATTAATAGTAATAAATTAAACATTGGTATAGTTTAGTAACTCAGGAAAATAAGAAACATGTCAAACGAATTTTGATAGTGATGAGTCGTTCCTGAGTGGTGGTATAGAATTGGATCAAATCAATATAGTTCGGTAACTGTTGAATAGGAGGGTGACTAATGACTGTGACCATGATTTTGAAAATTTATTTTTCAACATATACAAAAATAGATATCATTAGATGACATAAAATTTGATTATTTGGAGCATTATTGGGAATAAATATCCCAATTTAAAGTTGAAACGAAATAGATATGATTCAATTAAGTGCCTAAATTTTGAAGAGAGGGGATCATGATTATGCTGTGTTATCCACTTGTGCATCAACCATTTATTTTTGTTAATATAATATCTCAATTTGATTAGAGCTGGGCAGTCGGCTCTAGTTTTTGGTACAATACGCTGGTAAGACTTGATATCGATTGATCCTTTATTCTTGGGATTCAACTTGCTTGTTGTCTTATATTCTTGTTTGTTGAAGCAATATCTAGCATATTGTGGTTTTTTGGTTGACTAGCTCTTTGTAGAACAGTTGAAAGTACCCATGTTTCTCACGCTAAAGGCAAGATAATGAATATAGTTATTGTAGAACATAGACGGTGACGAACGTGTTTGACGTTGGCGATGATGAGGATGGGGGCAGCGAAGGCCATAGGGTTTCAGATTTGGTCTCGAGGAGAGGAGTGGAAAGAAAGGCGAGGCGCATCGTCGGTGACAGCAGCTACCGCTGGCGACGAGAGAGCGTCGAATGAGAAGTTTCAGACGGGTAGAGATGGAAGGAAAGGAAACCGCCGTCTACAGAGGCGAAGAATCTCTGGCCATGACGATGACGAAGCAAAGGGAGGAAGGGGAAGGTTCTCACAGAGTTGGCGATGAATCGAGGAGATTCGCCAGTCAATCGATTCCGTTTCCCGTTTCCCAGATAGCCGTCGAACTTGAATCGAGAAGAAGCAGGGGGTAGGAGGTGTTGCCGCCATTGTTGGTGGTGGTTAGGGTTCTTTTAATTGGGGAAAGGATTGTTGTAGGAGAGATGGTTGGGTGGAAAGAGAGAGGAGAGCGGGATATGGGGAAACGAAGTGGCCGTTGAAGTTGACGGAGGTGCCATCGGTGAGGCGGAGCTCGGAGGATGGGGATGGCGGGGTGCGATTGCGTGTGGAGAGAGTGAAGAGGTCGAAAGCGTAGCTGGATCGACAGAGAGTGGTGAAGATGATGCTACTGGATGGGGTAGGTCGGCTGTGGTGATTTTGGAGGGTGGATTGGGTGGGAAGCAGCAGATTGTAGAGGATGCAACAGAGAATTAGTGGGAGATTATTCATAGCTGCCTGATTGTTTTGTTTTGCTGTGATTTTTTAGTGAATCAGTGAAGTGTGGACTATAGAGAAAGGCTGTTTGCCAAACGGAGAAGGATATGTTTGGCGGAGCTCGACTTTAATTCCACTGCCGGTGAGCTCGTGGTATCCGCAGCGTCGGCAACGATGGGTGAATCGGGGAGATCGATGAAGGTTTGAAGGATTGAGGGGCGATGAAGAGGAAAAATGGAATCGCCAGGGAAGGGGGAAAATTTAGTGATTTTTTTTTATTTCAAAATTAATTATTTTAATAAATCAAAATGATGTGGCAATCATATGTGATTCGGGCCCAAATGTATAATTTTACCCCTCATTTCTTATTCGTTTAGCTTAGTATTTCATCGTCCCTCGACATATTTCACGTTAGGTTGTGCTTGTTTTGATACATTTCAGGTTCTAGCACGTGTGGAAGGGTCGAGGACGAGTTTCGGGATAATTGGAGGTCAAAAGGCGCAAAAAACCGAAGAAAAGTCTGAAGCCGTTACAGTGAAGTGCAGGCGTCCAGGAAGCAGCAGCAGTTCACGGTCTCCTAAGACCGTGAACTGGAGCGACAAACCATGAACATCGAGTAGTCCAGCGATGTTTCAGAGGTTACTGAAGCCATGTGAGTTCACGGTCGCTAAGACCGTGAACTAGGGCCATTAACCATGACCTCAGAAGAGTGAAGCGGTGCGTTTTAGTGACGACCGAGTTCACGGACGCGTTTAGGTGTTCACGGTCGTGAACTAGCCAACGCGTCCGTGAACTGCTCACTTTCGGGAAAATATGAAGACAACAGTGGGGAGAGAGAAAAGGGAGCTGGTTTTTGGAGAGAAATTCAATTTCCTCTCCAAGGTTTGCCAAAAACACCAAAGGGGAGTTCTAGTGAGAGAGAGAGAGAGAGAGTGCTAGAGTGATCTTGGAGCATCATTGGAGGCTTGGGTGGATCTTGAAGATAAGGCTTCAAGCCTAGAAGAAGAAGATATTGAGCTCAAATTCGTAATCACTCCCTCTCTCTCTCTCTCTCTCTCTCGCTCTCTGTAGAAACTCACTCGTTTCTCTTGGGTGTTGTAGATCCCTACTAATACTTTGTAATTACTTGTTTAGATTGAATGATTTCGTATGGGTTGCATCAATTTGAGTATTAGAGGTGTTTTCATGGTGATTGTGCTTAGTGGTGCTTTCCAAATCTTGTGTGCTTGCCTAACCTAGATTAGAGGAAAACCACACCTTTTTAGGTAGGCTTGACAAGCTTGGTTTTCCTGGGCACTTTGTGCCTACTATCTAGGTTAGAGATGAGCATCCTCCTTGACTTAAGTTTGCATCTAGGTTGATTGTGATTAAGCCGCTTAAACTCCGGTTTGAGGGAGAGACCTGGGCAACCACTACAGACTGAGTGAGAGGATTGATCCCATGACAAATTGATCTCTAGTGAATCCATCCTGTGACAAATGGATCACTAGTTGCTCCTCCTAGTAGTTCCCCTAGACTTGGTGAGTGGATCGATCCCGTGACAAATCGATCGCTAGTGAATTGATTCCGGTACAAATTGACCACTAGTTGCTCACCCCCGTGGTTCACAACCACCTACGCCACACGACTCCATTCAATCCAACGAGTCATAGTAGCTAGTTAGGGGGAAGCAACTTCTGGGTGAAGCTCCCTTAGTTAGAGTTTTCCTTTATTTACTTTTCTTTGCTTCTTTAGTTTGAAGTTTTCTTAGTTTGAAAACCCAAAACCGTTTTGTTAGATAACAACTTAAGCGATTGAAATAGCCGTACATGGACCGGGCCAGGTTGACAATTTAAATACTTGCTCTATACTGCACCCGATTAGAGTTTAAAAACTTGGGCTCTAGTCGGGATTAATTCGCGGTGTAGTTTCGTGCGAGTCAAGTTTTTGGCACCGTTGCTGGGGAACCGCGGTCCATTATTTTGAAAAGGTCACTTAGTGTTACTCTAACATTTTCTATCTTGCCTTTTTGTTCGTGTTTTATGTTTCGTGTTGTGTTTTGTTTACCCACTCTCCGTCTCGAAGGGTGGTTTGTGTTTGTTTGATTTTTTTTTTTGTTTTTTTTTTGTGTGTGTGTGTAGGTTATGAATCATGGATCCCAATGGCTTCTACAATAGGTGGTGGTATCCACAACAACCCTAATGAGGGTACCCCCAGAGCTTCGTGTAGTGAACAAGAAGGGGGAAGCCAAGGATCCGAGTTCTATTACCAATCCCCCTTCCAAGAAGAACAACCATACCATTGGGGGTATGAAGAGGCTTCCCCATATCAAGAAGATTTCCCTCCACAACCCGAGGAGAAATCCAAGTTGGAGTTGGCCATGAAAGCCTTCATGGGACAATCATCAAGACCATGTGCCACTCCACAACCGAAGCCAACGAGAAACTGGGAGCTCATGGTGGAGAAAATTGCCTGGGGTACCGACGAGGGATGCTCCAATTTGAACCTTTCCATCGCCGGCCCTATTGACTCTACCTTTCTTCGGGAGGCGGAGGAGCTACGTCAACGCACGAAGAGGCAAGGAGAGCTTGTTGAGCAAGCATGTGCACAACTTGCTCACAATCGCCTCCAGCCATTTGACGAAGAGAAAGAGGAGGCCGGAGAGGCAAGCCATGAGACCTTTGGAAGAACGAGCTCCGACATGGATTTTCAACCCCTCCCTCCTCTCGGTTTGACACTAAAAGAGAAAGTGGCACAAGCTTGTGAAAGCTATCGCCTCTCATTATTGGAGGAGAAGGAGGATGTTGAAGGAGCGATCAATGACAACTGTGTGGAGCAAGAAGAACTCATCGGGGAGAGCACCCGTGCTGAGGATGAACAAGAAGGTTGCATTGATGACTCCCATCACTTTCCCCTTCCCGTAAGAAAATTTGAAGACCAAGACACGAGTGTGGAGGAGTAAGAGAATCCCTTCGATGATCTTGCATGACATCTTACCCTCCAAACCGTGCTTGAAGACATGAAAGGGGAGGAGAAAGAAGAGGTTGAAGAGGAGGAAGAAAACATTGGAGAGGGGGAAGATCTTGAGTGTTCCCAAGGGAGGAAATTGAAGAAAAAGGAAGGTAGGTTGAGGAAGAAGAAGGAGCAAGCAGTGTCCGAGCAATGGACGAGGTCGAGGTGGATGAAGCATCCACAAGTTACAAGTGCTATGAAGGCTT